TATTTTACTAAACGCAGAAACAGGTTGGGACATGATTACAGTTGCCGTATGGATATGAGGTGAAGGTGTGTGGCAACCTTTCACCGGTGATTCTAAATATGCAGTCTTGAGGGTACTGCTCCAAGGCAACCTCTCTCTCCCATCTACGGTGTGAATTAGTCGCACCGTAGAATAACCATACAAACCCTAGTAGAGGGCGTCGGTCTTAAACAACTACGCGGTCCCCCCGGGGTGGTAAGGGGGGACTTTAGAGACGTTAAATATCCACCCCAACCCCTTAGAAAGTCCGGCCCTGTTGCTGCATGAGCAGCAATCCGGCTGGCCAGGTGTTTCTTCTCTGGGGATGCCACACCCAGCGGCCAATCGAGTGGAGGTCGGGTGTGGCGGTCTTAGGGGCGGAGCGTCCCTGGCGTGTCGCTTCGCGGCCCGATCGGAATAAAGACCACTGGGGGAGTGGTTGACTGCCGGTTTGGTTGGCGGGGTGGTGCGTTGGGGAGGACCATATGAGCCTCAAGGCTCGGTGTTCGCTGATTTTCTTAAGTTAGTTAGTTAGTGATGGATTCAAAATTAGAATTAGCGACATGTAAAGAATGAAAAACTCATAAGGTGTTATGTTTTTTTTCCCTAAAGTTAAAGGCGGTTAAGTTATAATATAACTTAAATCCGAGTTTTGCTCAAAAAGCATATTATTAGCTAGTAGTAGTAGTTATCTATTGCTAGAGATAAGCCGTGGAAAATGAAGCAAATAGTAACTAGAGTCCAAACTATCAAACAACCTCAACATTTTTATTTAAATAAATAAATATGATTAATAGAACATAACTATGAAACAAAATAAAAATAAGCTCTTTTATGGTTTAAATCAGTTCATGATATATTTTTAATTTAAGTAATTTTATCCTGGGATTTCATGAGGAAAACTCTAATCCCATTTTCCCGGGATAAGTGAAAACCCGAGAAATGAGAAATCCTAATTGCAAAAGAGTTGACTTTAAATAAAATATTTTTAAATAGATGTATTAAAAATGATTTTTATTTATTTAATTTAGAAGGCGCATTTTTTAATTACTGTACTGAACAATAATTTTTTTAAAATGTTTGAGTACATCAATATTATTACGGGTAATAGTATTTGTTAACTTAATGGAAAGGCGGCTTTTTCAGTCTTATGTTTATATGGAAGGGCGTCATTTTTTTATCTACAGCATTTTTTTCTATGGACCATGTAAGCGGGACTCTAATGAGTCTCTAGCTACCAGGGCTACCACACCTTGGGAAATTTCCAAAGATCTTGGGAATTCATGACCTCTCTTGGGATCTGGTGAATAATTTTGAAAACCAGGCAAAACCTTGGGAAATTTTAACTGGGGGGAAGATTTTATTATATTTTTCGAAAAACGCAAACAATATACATGATAAAAAAAATAAAGTGAAAATAAAGCAAACTAATTTTTAAAGTAACAAGGAATTTTTTTTTTTTTTTTTTTAAAAATGTTCTTTTCTGGTTTTAATTTTTAAAACCATTTATAAATAAATAAGAACTCTTCTGTCACAAGTTAATAATTAAAGAAAAATTTATTTTTCTCTTTTAAGTTGAAGATTTCCAAATTACATCCAGGTGTTAAATGTTTATTTAATTTTTAAAGTAACAAGGAATTTTTTTTTTTTTTTTTAAAAATGTTCTTTTCTGGTTTTAATTTTTAAAACCATTTATAAATAAATAAGAACTCTTCTGTCACAAGTTAATAATTAAAGAAAAATTTAATTTTCTCTTTTAAGTTGAAGATTTCCAAATTACATCCAGGTGTTAAATGTTTATTAAACAGGGGGATGGGGGCGGCGGTAGGCTCGGAAACTTTATCATGCGAATAAGACATTAGCAACCATACAACAAACAGTACAAACCAAAGAGCGAATGATAGCGTTCTATCAAGAACCCATTGTAAAATTGGATTATTTCAATTATTTATACAATGTGTTCAAAATATTATGCATTAAAAAAAAAAATCTAGCCTAATTTTCATCTATTGGAAAAAATATTTGTGGATTGACACACAGGTAATTAAGGTATTAAAATTGTGCATTGTAGGAAATAAATGAAAAATTCCTTTAAACAGTGTTTCGTTTGAACAAAATCATTATAATGTAAATTTACAAGAAAAAATAAAAATACTTATTGCTTTCATAATACTATCAATCCATTTTAGCTACAATTATTATAAACAAATTTTGCTTAATAGCTTTGCAAACCCAATTACTAATCAACAGATTTACAATAAGAAAACACATTTTTTGATGAAGAACCTTTTGCCTTTGTAAAAGGAAACTGTGTTGATTAGCCTTGTGAGCTTTGTTTCCAAGGGACTTCTATTACACTTGTAGATGATATTTTTACCAGAGAAATTGGAGGTAACATTTAGTAGCCTAACTCCAGTGGGTATTGATATTTTGGATAATAAAAATAATATATATTATTAAAAAAAACAAACAAATTATTTCTTTTATGTGATAAACATTTTTAAAATGTCTTTTTCAATAATTTTCAGTCAATTATTGTACCATGTGTTTCAGGGCCATTAATTCAATCTATTATTACATTAAGGACACAGGAAGCCCCCCCCCCCTCTCCAAACACCTTTAAAAAAAAAAATTCCTATAAACTTTTATGATCTTGGGAAATCTTGGGAAATTTCTTGACTAAATCTTGGGAAAGTTTTAAAAGTGAGTGGCAGCCCTGCTAGTTACGCCCCTGTCAGTGACTCGGTGTCACTACCGATACTGTGTCTTTTAAATGTTATTATAATCATATTCATAACATAAATACACATTATTTAGTTTATAAAAGTTCCATTAAAGTTTCATGAAGTCTTCAGGCAGTAATAATTTAGTGACTTGTTGATGATTTGTTAACATCAAAACGATTGGCTGTTAAAAAATATCTGTGAGGCACGTCACATGTTAAAAGCGTGAACTTTGGGCCATGACCCTAAAAAGTAGGTTAAGAATGGAGGCATTATCAAGGATTCTTTCCTAACAATAAATTTATAATACTGATTATTATGGACCTACTAGCTTCTGCCAGTTTAAACTTTAATGTTACACTTGCAGGTATGTTTCAAAAGAGTAAATAAAATTGTGGTTAAAAATTGTCATTTAAAAGGATGCTAGAGACGATCGTAGTGGGTTCCAATTCAATGTTTAAAAAGACCTTGACTCGGTGATTGTTGTACACTGCTATATATGAGAATTTGCTTGCATGCTCCAGACAGCTGATTCGTGATTGTTAGTACGAGTGATAGGAATATGCTATATCCGTGTCTTACCCGCTGGACCAATGCTTGCAATTACTGCAGCTTTTGTCTTGGTTCATGCAATAAAAACAAGGTTGAAGGTAGGGATCCCTGCCGTTAATGAATCAACAAAGCACAATTACTAATGTTAATAAATATACCATATAATCTCATATTCATTTCATTCCACTAGTCACTTCACTAGTTATTATTATTACTAAGACTCTTAGTTTTAAAGACTAAGGGACCGTGCACATATAAATGTTTATCATGGCATGCATTAATCATTAATGAATAACGCGAAGGGTGTAGAGTAGAGTTAGAGTTAGAGAGCAATGTTGTATAATATAATACCTTTTATTTATTTTCTTAGTTTGAGCTCAGTCATTATTTATTTTATTAATATTATTAATAATATTAATGAATAATTGCAGTCATTAAATAATTCATTAATTTCACATGCCATGCACATAGACATTCACATAGACATTAGTGTCACATTAGCCATAACTAAAGTGGGGTATTTTACTTTTAATTTTACTAATTTAGTAGTAATTTCATTAGTATTAAGTATTTGAATTTGATGAATGGAAAATATTTTCTATACCAGTAGGCAGGGCCGAGTAGGGTGCAGTTTTCAACCCCCATTGTCAATTGTCAATAGCAGGCAGTTGCCATGATGATGACATGACTTGCGTTAGTAGGTGATAACACCCTGCTCTGATGAACACTGTTCTTGTATTAAACTTAGCTTAAGATGACCAAACGTCCCATATAAATGGGATTGTCCTATTTTTTCACGATCTTACCCGTTGTCCCAAAAAAGTCTCTCGGGATGCCTAAATGTCCTGTTTTTAAAAACAAACACATTTTGAAATCGCTAAAACTTCCTAATTTATAATATAACTTCATGTAATATTTTGGCTAGCTGTGTAGCCAGTATCAGTAGTGATGTGGGCTCACGTTATGGCTGCACTGTTCCCCCTCCACCAGAGTGTCCCTATCATAGATCTTATATGTAAATGTATAGCGAAAGACACGTCTTGAAGCCACGAAGGGGGTGGGGGGAGGAAGATGTAACTACGCAGAAACAAATTTTGATTCCGCTATGCTACATTTAATGTGTTAGTCTTATGTGTGATCCCTGCCGGTCTGTTCGTGTCAGAGTGACAGGTGTTTGTTTTGGGTGTTGAGCTTTATTCTTTAAATTCATATTATCTTCTCATGTAGACAATAATTATGCCCAAGCGTCAATGTAAGTTTATGGAGGAGTATTCCAAAGAGTGGAACTATATTAAAAAGGGACACTATGAAAGTGAAGCCCAGTGCACAGTTTCCACTAATGTTTTTAGTATTGGTAATGGTGGATGTTCAGACATAAAACAACACATCACATCAGTGAAACATAGGAAAAGACTGAGTGCCCCAAGTAGATTTCTATGTTAGATTTCATAGTTAAAATGAGTATATTTCAATAAAAAATTTACGGTGGAGGCCCCCGGACCCCTCTTTAGCTGGAGGGTATTCCCTCTTCCCCCCCAAATTGTCCTCGAAAGTGTCCCGTTTTTTCCAGTTAGTCCAGTTCATGATTTGGTCACCCTAACTTAGATCTGTTGTGAATTCAATTCCATTGAGCTATATTATATACTATGTATTGAATTTGCAATTTTACCATTTGGTGTCACCCAGTGAGGTCTGCACTCGCTAAGTGACTGGATCAGTAAGTCAATTATAGAGGCACAATCATGGGAAGGCTAGATCGGTGAGCCAGTTGTTCGTCTCATGTTATGCAGCACACCTTAACTCATGGAGTTTGTCACCAATGGGCAAGCAGTTAAGCTTGGCCTTCCCCAGAATATTGATTAGTATTAGTGGAGGGGAGGGGGGCAACACTGCTTGCAATTTGTGACAAAATTTTGGTCAGTATTGTGACATCAAATTTTTTTTAATGTTCAATAGTCATTTTTCATCTTTCACATGCGAAGATGAACAAGTCTTGCTTGAGTAGTAGCCTTGACTTGAGCTTTATTTTGTTTTAAAGTGAAGGAGAGTTGCTCAATTTGTCAGTCTCACTCTCTCATTCTCATTCTTGCCTATCTGATCTAATGGCAAGACTTCTGTGCTCTTTATCCATACCTCGATGCAGGAGTTGTCAGCATTTTCATTGTGCATGTGATACTCCCTACAGGACTCTATCTTAGAGTTTGATTTCAGAGTTTGTCTTCATCCACCTGGGGAGTTGATGTTGTTTTTGCTTGTCTGTGCTTTTGCTGGGGATTGAACTCAAGTTCACAAACTTGAGTTGGCCACCCAGCTTAACAATATAGTGAAGCAGAAGTGGCCAGTTTGTGGGCTGCATACCTGCCAGATACAAAGTTGCGACACGTAGATGCCTAATTTTGTCACAAATAAAATTATTCGCTTTTTGTTCCACTGACAAAGAAATTGCTTTTAAAAAGAGAAGTGATAGAAAAGATAAAATTAGATAACATTAGCTTAGTTTTATGCTTATTAAATTTAATTTTTCATTCCGTGCATTGAGAATAGATAAAGATTTCTAGACAGGATTTAGTGGGTTTTTATTATAACATTTAAACAAAGGTATCATGACACCCGGCCCCCTGTTAACTCTTTATCAAAGTTGCTCTGAAGTCTTTTGGGTTGGTTAGCCCTGCAGTAAAGCAACTAAATAAACATAAGATAAGAAAGATTATAATATTAAGATTTCATTGCCTTTTGTAGGTATTATGGGAAAATAAGCTTTTTAAAAATTCATTTTCGTCACACAAAAGGCAATCTTAAAGAACTTCATACTTCACTTCTTGTTTTCTCCACAAATGGTTTCAAAATGAGAAACTAGAAAAACAGCCTATTAACAATGGTCACATACAGAAGATATAGAAATATTTTCACTTTTTCAATTAGGAGGAATTATTATTAGTGTCTTAAGTCATGTTAATATTAAAGTCCAATTTTGAGGACATCGGGTCAATGTTAATAAACCATTCATGGAACATGTCGTGTCAGCTCATGCACACTTGTAAAAAAAATAGTTCTTTTGTTTGCTTGTACTGTCATTATGATGTGAAAAAAAAAATAATATGCAATAAGTTTCTCAAAATAGAAAACATATTCCTGAGTTACAGAGCTGCTGGTATTGAATAGCTAAGCATGTTTTCACCTACTTATGAAGAGGCAATCCCTCCTCTCCCTCTTCAGGTGTGTCAGTAATAAAAACTAAGCAGACAGACTGAATGCATGTCAGTGCAATATTTTCCCTTTCTTTAGTAGCAATGCTGCAGTCACTGTTAAAAATAATTGAGTAAAGCAGCAGTAGAGGACTAATAAATTCTGTCTGGGATCAAGCTTTAGCTGCAGTCTAATGGTGTGTGGGGCAGCAAAACGTTATATTAATAATTTAAACCATTGCCCATACTGTGTAACCGGAAGATCCTTCTTTTCTTTTTGTGAGTGCCTCAAATTTATCATTCCCGTTGGATTAAACAAACATGATTGATGTAAACATTTCAACATTTATTACACATTTTTTTTTTAAAAATGTGGCTATTTATTTATAATTCAAAAGGACTTATATTTTTTTTAAAAAGTGTAGTTAAATATTATTATGATGGTGTTTTTTCTGCAATGGTGTGGTTGAAAAAGGAAATGAAATTTATTACATGATAATAAATGATAATACTCAAGACTTTTTCTTTTCATTTCAGATATTGGTTAAATATTTGTCCAAAATAAATCGTTCATGAGGGAATCAGGAGGAATTCATCAAGAGTTTAGGAGCATGGCTGTAGTGGATCCCCACAATCTGAGTGAGCACATCAATGCTCTACACTTGGAGAACGGTGGTGACCTAGATACTATTCTCAAAAGCAGACTTGTAATAGAAACTCTGGAGACCACTCGTATGTCAGTCCTTAGTCTTGCATGCCACGTATGCAATGTTAGATTGCTGACTACATTGTTGGAGCAAGGTACAAATGTCAACGCGCAAGGAGAAGATGGCATGTCTCCACTTCATATTCTGTGTCAGAGTCAGAAAAACCCACATGTCCGTGTGCGAATAGCTGAAATGCTACTTGAGCATAACTTGAATGTTGACCTCAAAGATTCCACAGGCTGCACAGCATTGCATCTTGCTTGCCAGAACAACCAGGTGGGCATGGTAGATTTTTTGATACGGGCAGGTTGCGATGTGAACATTCCTGATGAAAATTGTGATACGCCATTTACTGTGACTTGTCGAATGGCGTCAGATGGATGGTATTTTTGGAATACAGACTGCCTGAATGAAGACAGCGATGAAGAAGATCCTTCATACCAGCAGGATGACAGATTTCCCCCGGTGATCATATGTAAAGCTCTGCTGCATGCTGGGGCTGACCCGAAGCAAGCCACCCTGCTGCCAACTGCGGTACTGTTTGGAACAATGGAAACTGTAAGAGAGTTCATAGACCTGGGCATGGATGTGAATATGATGGATGAGAACAGACGCTACCCACTTGGATGTGCTTGCTCAGCTTCACACATTCCATTTAGCGTGGTTAAGTTTTTGTTAGAGTACGGGGCAGAAGTTAACGGGGATGGTAGGAAAAATAAACCCATCATTGCAGCATATGTTTACAACTCTGTTGACAAGATTTGCCTGCTCTTATCTTATGGTGCTATTGTAAGCTCAGAGGAAATGTCTGAGCTTTTTTCTATTAGTCTTTCAAAATGGGTTCTTGAAAACCCAGATGTGATTCATGAAGAGAGCAGAGAGTTAGTATCTTGGAAACTGCTGCTCAAAGCTGGATTTCGGCCAAAATTACAACTTCTAGTCCCAAAGCTCAAGCATTTATCACTGTGTAGTAGCTATACCAAAGTTAGCCCGTGGATTTTTCAACTTTTGAACCCCCTGCCGTCATTGTCTGATGTATGCCGTGTCACTATTCGTTCCCAGCTCAAGCCTTCCATTAATGAGAACATTGACCAGTTGCCACTGCCTAATAGCATAAAAGGATTTCTTAAGTTTAACGAGTTTTCATCATCAATATTTAGGAGAAGTAGCCTCAGAAATGATGCTAAATGCAGCTCCAAGATTAACCAGAGAAAGGAAAACTTAAATGAAAATACATAAAACAAATGTGTTTACTTTAACAATTTATTTTGGCAATACCAGTACGGTAACTAATTCTAGTAATTGTGACCACCCCCCTTAAAATATAAAGGAGAGTGCATTATTTTTGTCCATTTTAAGTCTTTCATACACTTAAAGCGTGAATGAAAAAGATTAAGTATCTAAAACTGTCATTAACAAAATGTGTTCCCAGTGATCATTTTTCACTCACTGTTATGAGAGATGCTTAATAATTGAAAACTTCTTTGTTCTGATTCTTTTCTTTATTAAAGGATTTATCAAAGATTCAAGAAAAAGATGATAAATATCTGTGTCAAACTAGTTGTATATAAACAGCCATTGTCTGGGTCCTGCAACCCCCCTGCTGCAGGATCCTGGGATATGTTTAAGGGGCATAAAATTTGTGAAGTGGAAAAAATTATGGGAATTATTTTAGGCTGCTTTGAATGGCTTAAAAGCAAGAACCAAAATACTGCAGGATTTTTTTTGTGTACAGATTCCAGGAGTTTCAGATAATTCCTCAAACTCCCATTTCCATTTTTTTAGGAGAAAGATAGAGAGAGAGAGCAGCCGACTTATTGTGTCTACCTATGATATAAGTATACTTGCTTTTACTTTAAGTTTAACCCTTGAGGGTAGCATAGCAGCAACTGTTTATTTCATTGTAAATGGTACCAAATGGCAATAAACAAGGGCTGTAACTCTAACAACTAATAATTGGTTGAATGAAAACAATAATTAGCTTCTTTGTTCAATATATCACCACTGCATATTGATTTTAAGAAAGGAAAATGCTTCTGTTAATTTTTTTAAATGATAAAATCTCCTTTGACAGCCAGTAGTTCTGGAATTTATTTGTACCTTTAAAAAAAGCTAGCTTATTCTTGTGTATTTCAGTTTTTAAAAATGTTTACATATAATAGTATAGCCCCCCGTTTTTATACTTATCTTATCCCTTTGGCTGATTGTTACAGTCAAATTTTAATAAGCCCCTTTCCATTTTTTCAATGCGTAATGTAAATTGACAAATGGCAATTTATTCAGGATTATCAAAAACTCTAACTTGTATAGTGAAAATGCTGTAAATAGTATGCAAACATTGTATTTTATCTACACACAATCACAAAAAAACACGGTCACCGAAAAACTACAAAATGAGTGTCATACTTACTTGCAAAATGTACACAATACAAGAAGCACCTCTAAGAGTGCAGAATTAGTAGCATTAAAAACAAATCTCTTATATAAAAAGTTTTAACATCATAATGTTACTTGTGAAACGGATGATTCTGATTTAAGTGATTAAAAATGTTTCGGCAGGTCATAATAAAAAAATATTAAATTGAGGTCCAATGTGAACTTTTCTTTTCTAAACAAGTTATTTTATGAACAAACAGCAATTTCGTTTATTAAAGTTTGGTTTTATATTTTAACAAATGAACTATATTTACAAGTCATTCATGAATATTTACAAGTCGTTTCATGAATGCTCATAATAAACTATCATCTATTCTTTTCAGTGGGTTTTTTTTTTTTTTAAACCACTGTTTAATGCTTTAATAAATACAAAAAACTGTTTACTTTGAGACAGGCTAAAGATACTGTATAATATAATTGCTCATTACTATTTCAAACAATTTTTCATTGGGAATAAATTTATGCTGGTGGTTCAAGCTTTTATCTCTGGTTTTGTTTTGTGATCCATTTAAATGCTGGCATTAAAATTGAATGGCTTCAGTAGCAAAGGGAAGCACTTAAAAATAAGAACCAAGTATGTTTAAGTATGCCTCATCACCACCATCATTTTTGATTCAGTGCTTTTTGGTGGAAAATGTGCAGTGTTGAAAATCATGTTAAGAAAAGCTAGTTTACAAACTTAGTGTTTCATAAAAAAAGAACAAATTTTGTAAATTTATATGTATCAATATGATTTGATTTCCATGCCAATGTGACTTTGGGCACTTTTTCTGTTAGTCAAATGATGATGAAAAATAAAGAATTAATACAACACCCCCCACCCCAACATAGACTGCATCAGTACACTTACCATTTTTGAGTTCTTGATCCATTTCATCCTATCTTAGATGGATTAATACAGCGATTGTTTGGTTATGAACTTAACACTAATAACCCTGGCAAGCCCAAAATGGGACAAAGGAAAAAGCTGTTTTTGTTAAGATGGAACCTGGGTATCCCATTTCATCTATCAATCCTAACCAGACAAAGCCATGCCATAACTCATTGCCATGCTCAGATTGCAACAACCAGCTGATCATTCAGGATCTCTGAACTTTTGTTTCCTGATAAAATGTTCCCAAGTCAATGGAAACCTTATTTACCATTAAAAAAACCACCAGTAAAAGTAAGGGGAAGTACAAATGAGTAGCAACTAAGGGAGATCATATTCTGTTATTAAGGCTGGTTATCTATCTTTTTTTAACTTGTCACTGTCCATTACGTCAATTACTTTGTTTCTAATGGTGAAATTAGAAACATGCCTAATAGTGTGTCGAGTGCTGACTCGCAATCGAATTAAAATTCGTCCCCCAGAGTTGTTTGGTGTCCTGGTTACATGCTTGGTTACCACTTGCCTAGTTTCAGCTCTTTGCTTTTCAATGTGGGTCTTATTTAAGTTTGAGGCAAGCAGCAAGCTCATGCTTATTTACATCTTCAGTGACTTCTTGTCTTGATTTTAACTTAGTGAAGAATGCCAGCTGTTATTTTAAAAAATACTTTGAGATTTCTTACATTATTAAAAGTTAGAGAAATATTTTAAATCAGTATTTTATTTTCAGCTACAAAGCAATATTTCTTAAATATAACCACAGAATATCAAATGAAAAATGATCACTTTTTAGGGAGGGGGTGGGTGGGTCTGTTAGCTTCTTATAAAAAAACCACACTTTTTGACATTAGAAAATATACCGGTAATTATTTGACTGTTAAGTGTAATAGTGATAGCATCATTCTTCACAGGCTTTCATCAATGCAATACTCAAACAGTGTTTCTGTAATCAAGTTTTAGTTAAGTAATTTCTCAAGGGCTTATATCAGCGAGCCTGTCACACATTTAATGGGAATTAGTGTTGATTGACTTGTCACTGATATCTAGATATAAAATCTGCATTTAAATAAATGCCTTTACTTAGCAGGTTTTTTAAATAATTACTTAAAAATTATTTTATTTTTTTAGTGAAAAAGGCGATGATTACTTGCTCCCGAATTTGTTAAATTTCTGTGATGAATTTTCTATTAATTTTTATGAAACATTTATTTGCATAAGTAAAAACCAAATTTTCTAAGAAGCAAACCTAACTGTAAGATGAAAATATCTTAATCTTAAGCTTAAAAAAAACAACAAAACGGTGAATTTTTATTACTTATATAATGAAAGGTGTATGATACAATAATGTGAAGGTAAGATTATAAATTGATGGAAGTCAGTGACAGAATTATTCCTTGATTAACTAAGTATATTCAGTAACAAAACATGCTTGAGAGAAATGTGCTTTTAAAATTGATTTATTTAATCATGATTTTTTTTTTTCTTGTTCTGCATTTGCTATCTCTTAATCACTGGTTGAGAACCTCTGAATTTTGGCTGAATTATTCTGACATAATTTTGCAATGTATTCACTTCACATTTATTTAATTGGAATCAGCATTATTTTGAGTTGAAATGTATCTGAATGAATTGTATTGAAGGGCAATGATCTGCAGCTGTTACTGTGTTCAAACAAACTGACATTCTTGGGGTTTTTGCTCATAATTTTAAACCCAAAGATTCATTTTATTTTGGATAATGTAAGACTAATATGCCGTATCACCCTGTATTTAAATATACTATTTAAAAAAAAACTGTGTGGACTTGTTCAACTGATGGGTTATTAATCAGCTAATATATCTTGCTTGGAAGTACACACAATTACAAATTAAATCTAATAAACAATCATTGTACTATAAATTAAAATGTGTTAACATTTTTTACACACTGCATTTAAAATATTCCCCCACCCCCTTCCAAAAAAAATACATTGAAAACTATTTTGGTACAGTACCATCATCAGATATTTTATTTGTGGTAGACTATGGCCATGTCCTTTGATGTGTACATTAAATGAAACTGTATAATCAAGATATATGAGCTGAGAACCTGATGCTTGTGTTATTGTTTAGTTAAACTAAAGGTTTATAAAGGCTGAATGTGATTTATTTCGGCTAATGCATTTTCCAATTTTTACCTGGCTGGATGTAGCCAATTGTTTTGTGTTCTTGTAAAAATATTAACCACGCTTTTCAATACTTCAAATAAACTCATCTGGAGAGAGTAACAAATAAATAAAAAAAAAAACCACTTACTTTTTTTAAGTGTCTTTAAAAAGTTTGTGAAATGTTGATAACTTTTTACTCGATGAATGAGTGAATATTTTGTGTTTTTTCTACTAATTACTGAGAGTTGTGACACCCGGTTGTCTACAATACAGAGGAGATTATCCCTGTACTTAGTCCAAACTGTCCACAAGCTTTATAATATAACCCTGGCACTTGGGCATGAAGAGCCAAGAAAGAATTTAATACTCATATTCATTTAATTATAACTTTGAACAATTACGTTGGCTTTTGATTGCATCAACAGGTCAATACGGTTACATCAGAATAGCGATGGAGCAGTAAATGAAAGCATCCAAGACTTATTTTTGTGTGCAGGCTTTAATCAAGGGCACCAAGAATCTTCCTATACTTACAATTGAATAAGATAATGAACCATTCTACTCACACCAAACATGAACTAATCTCTTCACACCAATGTCATGAACAAATAAATGAATTTTATATGGGTATTTTGATGGTCGCATTTTGGAAATGATGCTTTGATAGTCGTGTTTTGGTAATGATGTTTTGATAGCGGTGTTTTCATAGACGTATTAATGAATGACACCATTTCTATTGATCATTTCCCGATGTTCGTTTTAGCGGGGCACATGTGAGGCTGAAGGGGCAGACAAATCCATTTTAAAACAAAAATAATTACCCGTATCTTTTAAACGGATTGCTGCTATTACTATATAAATACTTATAACCAATGAATATATT